ATGGAAATATCCCTGGGAACTGAGCTGCTCCGCTTTCACCCTTTTTTTATCTCAATTTTTATCTGGATCAGATTGCAGTGGTTAGGATGAAGGCGATTTGCTGCAGATACCTCCATCCACATTTTTGTATTAAGCATTCTAGAAAACATGAGGTCAGGTGGGATTTTTCCACCTCTCCAAAATTTGCAAGTGGCCTTACTTGTTCATATATTATCAGTGCTCCATTCCAAAGCAAAAACTCCTTTATTCCTATGTGTTCATTTGCTTTTTTAAATTGCAACTACCCATGTTTTCCCATTTGTTTAGAATCACTTAAATAAATTCTTAGGGTAAAGAAAGTGAGGTACTTTATTTCCACCATGGATAAATTCTGGAACAAAACAGATACAAAAACCTCTATTCACTTTTCCATCTTGTCTTCCAAACTATTTCGGCTCTTCTACTTCATACTGCATGCAAATCACACTCCTAAATTCCCATTACTGATTACAAACCAAAAGAAAGCTCTTAAATGAGTTGCTTTAGCACTTCTGAACATCTCACGATGAACGTAAGATGTACTTCAGAAAGTGGGGCTAAATTTAGCACAGAAAAACCCTTAACAAACTTTCTGATGACTTGGTCCTCGGTAATATTCAAATATTACCTAGTCCTGATGACTTACACTTGATTGTCTAGATCTTAATTCTTCCACACTTAACAAAAATCGCCCCTTGAAACAACATGGCCCAGTTTCTTCCAAACGAGCGATTGACAACTTTATTAATACCAGTTGTTGGTCTTCTTAACAGTTGGGAGGGACTCTGGGGGTCTTCTAGTCCAACCCCCTACTCAAGTAGGATACCCTACACCTTTCTGACAAACGTCTGTCCGATCTTTTCTTAAAAGTCTCCAGTGATGGAGTAACCACAACTTCTGGAGGCAAGCCATTCCATTGATTAATTCTCCTGTCAGGAAATTTCTCCTTAATTCCAGATTGCTTCTCTGCTTGGTTAGTTTCCATCCATTGTTTCTTGTCCTGCCTTCAGGGGCTTTGGAGAACAGCTTGACTCCCTCTTCTTTGGGGCAGCCCCTGAGATATCGGAACACTGCTATCATGTCACCCCTGGTCCTTCTCTTCATTAAATCAGACATACCCAATTCCAGCAACCGTTCTTCGTATGTTTTAGCCTCCAGCCCCCTAATCATCTTTATTGCTTTGTTTTGGCGAGGGACAGTATTCCCCACTTTATATTTTAATACTTCTTAGGAATATTGTCCCTGCAAGAAGTAAAATGCCTCTCCTCTGGAATTCAGGAAAGAAATTTTATCCAGAGTAATTCCATAAAGAAAATAGCTTGCCACCCCTCCATTCAGCAGGGCAACAACTTCTCGCAAACTCGAAAATTAAACCCTAACTCAAGTTCACTACGGGATCCAAAATATCAAAGCAGCTCCTGAATGGCTATAATCACAAACTCATTTCTCCAGCCGCTGCTGCCCATGCTTAATTAGGGCGAAGTATGTTAATGATACGGTGGTACATCCCAAAGACATCGTCAGTTGCAAAATTAATTGCATTTAGAGAAAGATGCATAAATTGTGCTTATACAAGCTAATTAGCATGGGTTTGCTAATTAATACTGGAAAGTCAAACTGCCTTTGTCTTGTCAACTGCAATTAGCTGAAGCTATTTACATTTCTCTCCTTTTAATTTTTTTTTTTTGCTTTCCAGTGACTTTCGCAGACAAGTAATTGAATCGTGTGCTGAAACACACAAGAGTCGGTGAGCCTTGGTGGCTCTATTACCCTTTGATACGGAGGCTTTGGGTGCTCCGAGTGGCACGGCATTTGGTAAACACGCCACCTGGATCTTCCTTTTCACCTGGCACCGGTGATTCACCCGTTCGGTATTTCACATTAGCATAGGAACAAGTATGCTACGTGTGCGCGCCGTAGACGATCAGCTTTAAATAGAAGTACCCCCAACTCATTTGCTAAGCATTTCTAAGAGGGAGACGGTGTGTTCTGTAATCAGAGCAATCAACTCATAGCCTTTAGCAGCAATTAATAAGTCAACTCCCATTAATTGGGCAATGGGAGTTTATGTTAACATTTGCAATGTAACCTGTTTTTAACGCAACACAGAGGAGGCGGAAGGCTTTAGGAGAGGTAAGGGTGTGTGTGTTGGAGGTGTTTTCAGATCCAGAACAGCTAGCAATTCCGTCTCTGTCCCAGGTCCACATCCGAAGACAGAACAGGAGTGTGTGAGTTTGTGTGTGTGTTAGTTAATCCACTTTGTCTACTATCCTCTGCAACTAATGTCCTATGACACTTCTCAATGGGAAGGAAGGAAGGAAGGAAGGAAGGAAGGTTAGAAGAGAAGGATGCAGAATTAAGGGAAGGATGGATGGATGGATGGATGGATGGATGGTAGGTAGGTAGGTTAAGAGAGAAAGAAGCAGGGTTAAGGGAAGGAAAGAAGGGAGGGAGGGAGGGAGAGAGGAAAGAAAGAAGGAAGATTAAGAGAGAAGGAAGCAGGTCTGAGATAAGGAAAGAAGGGAGGGAGAGAGGAAATGTATAATAATAAAAATTCTAGCATCCAGTTGTAAGTAGGTAGGTAGGTAGGTAGGTAGGTAGGTGGGTGGGTGGGTAGACAGACAGACAGAGAGACAGACAGACAATAATGTAGTCTTCCACCTGGGTTGTCAAATGGCATTATCACAGCCATCTTAATATTTCAATTTAATTCTATTTCAGTAACAGACCTGAAAGCCATTTCTGCTTCAAGAGCGACTGCCCTTTCCACAGCTTGACACAGTTGGCAGCTTCCTTTTGCAAAAAGACCAATAATAGAAGAAATAGTTACAACTCAGATGAGTCCATCTGGCAGATCACTTATTCCTGAAATTATGTACTACACAGTTTGAGAGAGAGAGAGAAAAAAGAACATCAAACCGAGCTGCCCAAGGAGCTCGGAGAATAGGACAACCAGCAATCTTATGAGCCCAGAATTTCAAGTAAAATCCTGGGTCAAAATTGACAGGTATTTATCTGATAGGTTTCATGAGCAGTGCCTTTCCTATAGACTTGGTTTTTACATTAAATAGACCCTGCCTGATGATGCTCAAAAGACAACTGTTGTGTCTTTGGCGCAGTCACACAACGACGTTCACATGGTCAACGTAAATTTCATTTTTGTAACTCTCTTAACGCTGCAAATGTGGGTACTGCTCAATAGAGCTCAATGGACAACATCTTTAGCAGGTGCAGGCGTGGTCAAGCTCACCAGTGGAAAAGGTGAGATCTTGGACAATCAAACCCTGCTAGAGTAAATAGAATCATAGGGCTGGAAGGGACCTCGGAGGTCATCTAGTCCAACCCCCTGCCCGAGGAAGGAGTCCTTATTCCACCCAGGACAAATGATTGTCCAATCTTTTCTTGGACACCTCCAGAGAAATGAAGCAGATTATCAGGGGCTGGTAGAACTGGATTGGCTATTGGTGAGCCCTCATTCCTTATTTGGTATCCCCTTTGACCCCCCCTGGATGATCATGAGCAAATCTCAGATTGCCTAAATGGAAAAGTAAGAGAAAGGAGAACTTTATTGAATAAGCTAACTCCAGAATGAAACTTGACCGAATGTCTTACAATCAAGGAGTCTCACAGCCCAGTGAACAAGTCTGCCAGGTAACTGAAGCCGGTCAGGAGAAGTTAGACCAAGCCGATCTTGATGATGCATATTGTCCACCATCAGAGGAATAGATGGAGAACCACCTTAGATCTATTCTACTCCTAAAATAACCTCTAACAGACCTGGAAGCACTTTTCCAGATGCCATATAAGCTCCAGGTTTTGTTTTTGTTTTTCAGATTCTGTGGTTCTCAAACACAACAGTCTCTACTTTAATTAGCCCCTAATTCTAATTCTCCGCTGAGGAACGTCTACTGAGACTTGAAGCCTACAAGAAGACTTCAAGCAGATGGCCAAATGGCAGATAGCATTTTCATCAATTGTTGTTTCCCCATGAAGCACTGCATACATTTTGAGGGACAGCTTGTGCTTCTCATCCTGATGCACCCATGAATACAAATTCAGCTTCCCTCAGATTTTTTTTTTATATATATATTAATCCTCGCATTATTTCTTTGGGGCTGCTTAGTTTTGCTCTAGCTAAACCGTTCTGACTGCAAAGGCTTGTAATCTTCTCCTCGGCTAGCCGAACTCCCCAAACCCGGATTGAAAGTGATGAGCGAAGAAGAGCCGCGGAAGAAAGACACCATCATATTGCTTATTAAACCCAGCCAGCCACCCACGGCCCGGATCCTCCAGCAGAGAAAAATGACTCATTGAAAAAGTGTAAAACAAACCGAACGGAATTACAGGAGGGGAATGAAAACATTTCCCACTTGCTGGAAACTCTGCATTCTCATGCCCACAGCCCCTTGCAAGCTGATAAATAAGTAAATGCCTCCAGAAAAGAGCTGACAATAGATTAAACAGTCTCATTTTTTTTTTTGCATGCGTAGAAAATGGGGATTCCTGGTGTATTTTTTTTTTTTTATCTGTTAAGTCTACAGCTTTTTGCTATTCCAGTTCTTCAGGGTTTAATCCCGGAGTCTCAAAATTGGAAACCGTGGGCCATGAAGTGCATCCTATCATATAAATGCAGACATTATAAATTAGTGCTTCATCCTAAGATATAGTGGTTAAAACGCTGGGTCACAAATAAGGAGGCCATGAGTTCTAATCTTCCCTCAGGCACGAGAGTCAACTGGATGACCTCGGGACAGTTATTCTCTCTCCACCCAACCCATCATACAGGTTGCTGTAGTTGCAGAGAACACAGGAAGGAGCATGTGTGTGTATATGTGTACAGTAGTCCTCAATTTATGACCACAATTGTGTGTGTGTGTGTGTATAGGTCTGAACTGTACAAAATTAAACTGAGCTCTAAATCAAACAAATACATTTGTAAGTTTTTTTTTATTAAACATGATTTTTAAAAAAACTAAACTTACCATGTCTGCTCTTTTCTTCTGATTTCCTGCCTCTTCCAAAGCCTGGGATAACTGGCCCTTTAGGGGGAAAAAAACAGAGACCAACATTGAACAAAACAGAGGTATAGAATCAAGATCAGGCGAAGTATTAGTACCGCTTTATAAAACCCTAGTGAGGCCACACCTGGAATACTGCAGCCAGTTTTGGTCACCATATCACAAAAAGGATGTTGAGACCTTGGAAAAAAATTCAGAGAAGAGCAACTAAGATGATCCAAGGCCTGGAGACTAAAACATACGAAGAACGGCTGCAGGACTTGGGTTTGGCTAGTCTAAAGAAAAGAAGAACAGGGGAGACATGATAGCAGAGTTCCAATATTTGAGGGGCTGCCATGAAGAAGAGGGGGTCACGTTATTCTCCAAAGCACCAGAGGGCAGGACAAGAAACAATGGATGGAAGCTAATCAAGGAGAGAAGCAACCTGGAATTAAAGAGAAACTTCCTGACAGTGAGGACAATTAACCAGTGGAACAGCTGGCCTCCAGACGTGGGCGCTCCATCACTGGAGGTTTTTAAGAAGAGACTGGACAGTCACTTGTCTGAGATGGTATAGGGTCTCCTGCTTGAGGCCCGACAACTCCATGATTTTGTACAAGTCAAACGAGGAATTAGTTTAGTCTCTATGCAGTCACAAGAGAACAATGAATGCCCACTGAATCTGTATTTAGTTCTACTCAGGTGCAAACCTTTAGTTGAGAGGTTTTCTGTGCACAGGCTAGAGAATGAATTCAGTAAATTTGAACTCTTTTCTTTGTTTGGACCTGGTTCTTTGAGGCTGACAAAACCCTTGGATGATACAATAAGGTTGGGAGTGGAAGAATCGATGGTCTTCCATCAGGGTTTCCCAAAGAGAATCCATGACTCTCTTCCCTTTCCTCGTCACTTCTAACCGAAGTTAGCACCCAAGAGTGCTACTACGCCCAGCTTCTCCTATCTAGAAAGGCTACTAATCATAGCCCAGATCTATGCCAAGGCCTGTAGTATTTCTCAAGATAATGGTTATGTCAATCTAAATTAGGCTGTTTGCTCTGTAGGTTGAGTCAAAGGGAATGTATTCTCATTTTTCGCTCCTGATCAATTATTATAATAAAAATAAATTGAAACGGAACAAAATGTATTTGAATGGGATTTTCAAGTTCAGAATCTCAACTAAGCAGGCAGTGCTGGACTAAAACAGCACTATTATGCTGGAGGAGGAGGAGGAGGAGGAAGAGGAAGAGGAGGAGGAGGAGGAGGAGGAGGAGGAGGAGGGGATCCCTGCTTTGTTTCCTAGTTTAAACTTAAAAAGGTTCAGAACCCAACAGCATCAGTTTTGGAAAACCATTCTGGAAATCCAATTTTAGCAAACAGAGTTAGAAAGAGCAGGAGAGCAAACATCTGTTTTTTTAAGGACAGCTACTTGGAATTTATGCAACAGCTGGCAAGCACAGCCAGGTTTAATTCATGTATCAGAGCATCTTACTGCCCGCAAAATTTCAGTAAAACAAATACTGTGCAATATTATGGCTGAGGATCCCCAAGGAACGCTGCTGCAATATTTTGATTCGAAAACATGGGCCTCTCTAAAGCCACAGTAAGTGGGTCCTTGCTGTAAAGCTCTGAGATTAAAACAACAACAACAACACAATGCGCAATCACTATCGCACAGCCGTAATCCTTGAGAAAAAGCCAACTGTATTAAAGAGATTCGGGTCTTCCTGCGCTGTGCCTAATTCTAAATTCACCACCAAACCACGTGGATCAAGGGTGATTTTGGGGGAAATTCTACGCTCTTAACCCCCAGACGGGAAGCCCTGGGCCTAACTTCAAAACCTCGATGGGTGAGATAGCTTTAGAGGTTTGCTGGGAGCAGTCTGTTTTATCATTAAAGCCCACTGCCTGGAGCAAGGAGAGAAGGCATCTCGTGAATGGAGAATGACAAGCCCATTTATTGCTGGTTTGGGCCAACTTAATGTTGGTAGCCAGGTGCCCTTCACGCAGTGGCCAGCAAATAAATCCTGGGAAACGACCATCTCTGCAAAAAAAAAAAGGTGCTTTTTTCAAAAGGCAACTGCACTGTTTTTTCCTTGAGGAAGAGGAAATGTTTTGCTGCTCATCCAAGAAGCTTCATTAGTTTTGTTATAACTGATGAAGCTTCTTGGATGAGAAGTGAAACAACTTCTTCTTCTTCTTCTTCTTCTTCTTCTTCTTCTTCTTCTTCTTCTTCTTCTTCTTCTTCTTCTTCTTCTTCTTCTTCTTCTTCTTCTTCTTCTTCTTCTTCTTCTTCTTCCTTCCTTCCTTCCTTCCTTCCTTCCTTCCTTCCATCCATCCATCCATCCATCCTGGAAAAAAACTGTCCAGCTGCCTTTTCAAAAAAGCACCTCTGAGACGACTATGACCTGGATGACTGAGAATCTCTATAGACAAAAAGCTGGCTTGTTAATGTCTTATCCATTCAACATTTGTGGTTTAATCTGACACAGTTTGCAATCAGGACCCAGGCGAAAGGTGAAGGGGAATAGACTATTTTGTCTTCTCTGCTTCTCCTAAACCAACCAAGGTTGGTCTGCTCATTTGAGAATCAGTCCAAACAACAAAGGGAAAAAATCTGGCTTAACAAAGATGTGACAGGATACCAATTTTCCGAATTTTACTGAAGATCACAGGCGCAGCAATTTGGCAGCTCCGTAACACCTCTCTGAAAAATAGACCCACACAAGCATAAAAGTTGATTTTTCAAAGGCACAAATGTGTGTACATACACACGTAGGCCTGTCAGTGATATTTCATACATCTTCCTGTGGGTGGGGAGCTGATTTCCAACAGCTGTGGCGGAGCTGGGTTGTGTGGGAGGAAAAGATTGTGTGACAAAAGTAAGTTCCAACGGTTCTGCTGCTAGACTTCCGTCTATTTGCATACTGCAACACGCTGTATTAAAATATTGTGAAAGCTGGTAGGAGAAATCATTTCCGTCGGTAAAACATGCCAATTTATATCAGGATGAAAATATATTTCCTTTGCTAAAAAAAAGTGACTGTTAGCCCTTTTGCAGCGAAGGAAGGAAGGAAGGAAGGAAGGGAGGGAGGGAGGGAAGAAAGGAAGGAAGGAAGGAAATGGAGGGTAGGGAGGGGGCAACTCACTCATTAAAAAAGACCCCTGAGCACAGAGGAAGGGGAAATAGAGAGAAAGAGACTCAGACTAACTCCACCTTAATTATGCTAGGTATAAGTTGAGCTGGAGAATTATTTTGGCAGGCGTTCAAGTCTCTCTTACAATACAGTCTGGTAAGAAAGATATTTCTGGTAATCCAAGATTCTTTCCTGAATTTGCTTGCCTTTAATGGCTTGACAGGTTGGTACACAATCATGAGAAACCCTACATTTCTTTATCCCCAAAGCGTCTCATGAGACGCCATCAATCTGGAGAATTTTTGAAGAAAGACAGAGAATCCCAAGGTAAAAAAAACCCTGCTTATCTCTCCTCCTCATTTTCCTTCAAACATCTTAGAAGACAAAATCCAAAGATGAAAAGGATCAACAGAGGTCTTTAGGGAATACTGTATCTTAAATCTATTCATCCACGGATATATTCACCGTCCCAAAACGACAGCTCTATGACGCTTGGGGACATCCACCTGCCAGGCAAAAATGGCCAACGGTTGCCTCCTCAGATGTCAAAGGCAGCATGGCTTATCAACTTGACCTCCTAAACGCTAGTGTCATTCTATTTTTATTGTGGACAAGTAACAACTGTGGTCCTGATAAGACTCCAGAGGACCCGTTCCACGTTCTTAGTCCTCTTCCAGAAGGATCTTGATGCTCAAGAATTTCCATTCTTGGAGCCCAATTATTCCATCACCCAAAACAGCCGGCAAATTTTCATACTGAGGAGACAACAGTACTCTCTCCATTCACTATACCTTTACGGAAATAAAGACATCTTTTTTGGTCCAGTTATCTAATAGAAGCTTTCTTCTCTTTCCATTCCAAAAGGGCTAGAAAGAAACCTGGTTATTTATCACGTGAAGGAATAACCAAGGGTGAAAACAACCTTAAATCACTCTATTCTAAGTTGAAAATCAACAGAACTTGGGGTTTATGGGTCTCAAAGGTGCTTTTTCAAAAGGCAACTGGAGTATGTTTTTTTTCCCTTGAGGAAGATGTTTTGCTTCTCATCCAAGAAGCTTCATCAGTTCTGGCCAGAAATTCCACCAGAACTGATGAAGCTTCTTGGATGAGAGGCAAAATGTCTTCTTCCTCAAGGAAAAAACATAGTCCAGTTGCCTTTTGGAAAAAGCACCGTTGAGACAACCGTGACCTGGATGACTGAGAATCTCCAGAGACATTTGGGTCCTACCATAAACTAGACAAGATTCATCCATAACCAACCAAAGGCAACGAAAGATCCACATGCATTTGAGCAACGGTCGTAGGACTAAAATATTTTCAAGAGAAAGGAAAACCTACCTGTCTTCACAGCCAAGAGATCTAGAAGGCAGAAAAACCTGAAGTTCTACACCAAAGTCATTCATTCATTCATTCATTCATTCATTCATTCATTCATTCAAATTCTGGCATCGGCAATCATCTGGTTAATGCTCTCTCTGAGGATTGTTGAGGCCTCCTGGAGCTTCATCTGTGCCCTCGGGGTCACCTGAATAGTGCAAATGGATGTGGAATGACTCTCAGGGAGAGCACTAATGACCAGATGACTGCAAGGAATGTAAGCCCTTCCATTCTCCACCATTCAGTCAGAACTGAAGAAGCTTCTTGGAGGAGAAACGAAACATCTTTGAAGGACAACGAAGTCCAGTTGCCTCTGGAAAAAGCATCTTTGGAGCTTCCGAGCCAGCCTTTGAATCCTACCCTAGTAGCTTTTCAAAACTCGGCCTCAACTACTGTCTTACTTGGATTTGATTTTCATCCGACCAGCGTTACAGGTAGCTGAGATTTGTTCTCTTATTCCAGGGGCGCCTTCCTTCTGTCACTTCCACCTCTTGGAAGGGAGGAATTGGGAGAGGAAACGATCGGATGGGTTGC